AGTTGACATTAAAAACCTGGTGTTAAGTGAATACGTATTATAAAGCTGTTATCTTAATGTAAAAAGAAGTGACTTGGTAGAGGTCTCCCTGTGGAAATAGATGCATAAGGAACACTTAATACTGAAAGACACAGCTGTTAAGTCATGAACAAGGGCTGCATGGAAACTTTTGTGTTGTTATTTGATACATTAAGTGGAATTTGGCTTTAGACAGCTAAATCTTGCCCTTCAGTGTGTTGGAAAATATTGCATAGTAACTTGGTTTTTTCCACAATGCCACCTTATTTTAGCATTCCAAAGGATTTGGAAGTATGGGTTTTACACATAAGACTTTCTTAAAATAACTAGGCTCTAACTTTGGTAGCATAAATAATCACCTACTGATACATGCATGTATGTAAGACATAGAACAATATTAACTGGAATCAAAGCTAGTCTCCTGAGAGAGAAATACTTGTGTTTATCTTGAAGGGTAATCATTTGTAGCTGAGGTACAATTATGTGATTTATGTAGAGCTTCCATTTTGAAAGCATTTGCACTTGCTGTTTAGAATTTGTGCCCATTTGAAATTTGGGCCAATTATTACTGGCTCACAGGGGCCATCATAAGGGATAAGGATAGGAGTATCTGATACTACTTAATGAAAGAAACATGCTATTTATTAATCTTATTTAGCCCCAGTAATTCTCACATTTATAAGTCAAATGGCTTTGAAATTAGGTTAAATTTAGCTCTATGAATTCGATATTTTTAACAGCATTGTTCACGCTGTTGATTTTTATGTGTTTCTTTCTTTTTGGAATTGTGATACTTTACATTTAGGATCTGTATGTGATGAAGGCTAATGGTGCACTCACACACACACACACACACACACACACAGGCACACATGTCTGTGTTTCTTAAAGTTTGTAGATTAACAAACATCTAGCTATGATCCGCAAAATGTTTAAGTTGCTATTTCTGATCTCAGCTGGTTTACTTAATTAATGAGTGTGGGCTTTATAAGGTGTTGATTAGTTTTTTTAAATGGTATTTTTCAGCCTAACAAAGTAAATTTGTTTTATACTTTGGAAATATTTGCAAAGTATATTTTGCTTGCTTTCATTCTTTTAGCTACTGAGATCCCCTCGGCCCCATTAATTGTGTTTTTTCTTCCTCTAAGCTGAATCCTTGAGGCTGAGTCTAGAGAGCTGAGAAGAAGCCAGGTGTGGGAAATGAGGCAAGGTCGAGGGTAATCAGGAGTAGACCAGGCCTGGGGGAGCCACTGTGAGCAGCATGAAATCGTGGCATCCATAGCCCTGGAAGGTAAAAGTTGGTGTGTGGGTGGAACTGGCAGCAAGCAGAAATCAGGGACACAGAAATATTGGAGTTTGATGGGAGTGATACGAAAAGAGGGCACAAAAGGAAAAAATAAGGAAAAGTCCAGGTCATATCAGAGATCAGTTTATAGAAACTGAAAGAACTATGACACCATTGGAGTGAGAAAGTTGGGACTTGGGATAGAAGTTCTTTGGCATTTCAGTACAAATTGTGCTCTAGTCAAGAAGCTTCTTAGGCATTCCTGCCAATATAGGAACCGGTCCCAAGGTTGGGCCACCAGAGCCCGCTAGTAAAAGCAGGTCATGGGTGTGTCTGCCTGGAAAGGAAAAGGAGGTACCCTGGGAAGGTCCTAAGGAGAGAGGTTAAGGACATGTGGCAACACAAGCGTAATCAGCACTTTGCTGAGCATTGTGTGTTTCATGACTCACATAGGTTGGTTATAACACACCCATCTTCCAGGCAGTAAAACCAGTGGGCTAGGGCTGGGTCTTCAATGTATCTGCTCCATCTGAAGACAGTATAAGGGAACTACTTTAAGAGAGTAAAGATGCTTCAGTTTAAAAGCTGCTAAACAGTTTGCATTCTGTATAAAAATCTTAGTTCTCTTTTTAAGGTTTTTCATAGCAAAAAAAGGAGGTCTGTAAAGGAATGAATTGGAATAAATAATATAAATGAAGGTTAATTAATGAGAAAAATACAATTTATGGTTACGTAAATAAAGACTTTTGCTGTGTCTTACATATTTGCATGCACATATATAGTATATATAAAATATACATATGCATATGTATAAATTTATGTTGCTTAGAAATTGCTGAGACTTAAGAGAGCTCTAATTGTTAATTGTTTTTAACTCAATGGTTTAGTCTTTTTTGGACATTAGTACGTGATTACTTTGTCTACCTTTGTTTTTATTTGTATGATGAAATTAGATAAACTTACAGGAAAGAATAAATAACCTTAAAATCTCATTTATATCTTTTTAGACTCACTTTTAATCATATATCTACTTGGCAATGTATTTGCTTTTTAACTTACATTTTAATGATAGAAAATGAATTTACTTAGTGTTTTTTTTTTTGATGGCTCTATTGTATGGTGATATAACATATTTTGATTGTAATTCTCTTATTCTTGACCATTTGAGTCAATAGTATTTTTTTCATTATTGGAAAGTTGAACATGTTTTAAAAAATTATTTTTGGATTGTTTCCTTGGGGCATTTTCCCCAAAGTCAGGTTAACAAGTCAAAGGGCAGGAACAATTTTATAGCTTCTATTACATATTGCCAGATTGTTTTCCAGAAAGATTGAGCTAATTTGCTACTCCACTATCAATGTATAAAGCAGAGCCCCAGTTTTAGATAGTTTAGACAGTCTGGGCACCCATGAAAAGTATAATTACATTTTTACCCTGAGGTCTAGCTGTAAAGATAGTTCTCATAAGTAAACTCGATATATGGACTTTGAAATTATAGAACTGATAAGGCATGTCTTTTGTTCTTCAGAATGTGGAGGCTTGAAGTTAGGGACTTTTGGGGCTGGACAGTGTGTGGTGTGGAGGTAGAGGGTCCCTTTGGACCAGTGTGGTACTGTGATTGCATTCTATTGAGTTGTTGGTAAGGCCCAGAACAAAGGGATGGGGGAGAGCCAGGTCCTGGTGTTTCTGCTGCTAGGACGGTCACCAGGTGCAAGGAATCCTGAAGGGTTTGGTGGAGGTTGTAGGATAGTGGGTGTACTTTGGAGTCAGGCATGCAGCAAAGGAGAAGAGGATGTCTAGTGGCTGTCCTGTGGCCACTAGTCAGTGGGCCAGGTACTCCCTGGGTAGGGGCTAGCCAAAGGCCTTCCTTTTTTTTTTTATTAAAAATGTCAACTCAAGGGTGTTGGAGTGATTTTTTGCCTTTGTGACACAGCATTATCAACTTTATAATGGAAGTCAATGGAGATTATAGATTCTGTGGAAATTCTTTTATTTTGTAAGGGTGGACTTGCCTGGTCTATAAAGATTTTTTTTTTCCATTTCTGACAAGGGAGAGACAGACATTTCCCTGAGAAATAAATTTCCCTCATTGCTCATGCATGCTGACATAGCATTATGCCTTTGCCAGCTTCCCCAATGACTTGCAAAAATTCTATAACCTAAGTACTCGTACAGAACATGTAACAGCACATCATAGAACTGGACCCGGAGGGTACTGCAGAAGACACATAGATTCCATGCAATTCAGAAAGGCAAACAGGGACAAAGATAAAGTCATTGATAAATGTTTGGTTGTTTAAAAATTATCGTATGTGTATATTTTCAAAGGAGTAAATGGAATGAGTATTATACCAGAAATTCTAAGTCTTAAAGTTAAATGGAAGTTGAGATAAAAAATTGTTTTAGTTTCCAGGTTGCAAAGTAGAAGTATCTGTTGGCAGAGAAAGTGAGAAACCTTCAAATGCTAGCAGCGGGAAAGGAGAGAAGCTGACCAGGGCTGTGAGGTGACCTGTTTAGGGATTTTTATTTAAATTGTTAATTGAGTTTTTTTGTGGTAAAGTATATATAACAAAATAGGCCACCTTAACCTATTTGTTTTTTGTTGTTTGAGGCTGGAGTGCAATGGCGTGATCAAGGCCCTTATTGCAGCCTCAACCTCTTGGGGCTCAAAAGATACTTCTACCTCAGAGTCTCAAGGCATGCACCACCACACCCAGCTAATTTTTACAGTTATTTTGTAGAGACAGGGTATCACTATTTTGCCCAGCCTGGTCTTGAAGTCCTAGGCTCAAGTGATCCTCCCATCTTGACCTCCCAAAGTGCTTAATTACCAGCTCTATTTCCAAAACTTTTTAATCACTCCAAACTTTAGGGGTTTGTTTTGTAATTGGTTGTCTCAGAATTTTTAAGCTTAAAGAAACACAGCATTCAAACCTTTCATTTTTCAGTTTCAGTATATGCCACATGTTAGGGTTGATTCTACTAGTTGTATGTCACTTGTTTATCAGTTTCCTTTAATCTTTTCTGTTGCTGCATGTTTGGTTGAAGAGGGCATCCATCCAAGTAGGAAAGGGAGGATATTGTTCTGCCAAGGGCATATGAGTAGCTGTGTTCCTCTGCTGAGATCTCCAGAGCAGTTCTATTTGTAGGAGAACATGGGTAGCATGGTTTTCTTGTGCTTATTTAATGTATTTTAAAATTAAAAAGTTATACATCTGTAATCTAGAAAAAAATTTAAGAGTTTGTCATGACTTTGAACATAAAAATGATTATTTTTGCATATTTTTCACATACGTCTTTGACATAATTGATTATTATGCATCTAACATCTACAAATAGCTTGCTTTTTTCATCTAACATATCACTTACAATTTCTCATTTTCCTCAATTATGTTCATAATAAAGAATCCAAAGAATGCATGTAGCTTAATTTATATCCATACTATTTTCTTTAATATTTAGATTGTTGAAATTTATAACTGTGTAAGTAAACATCTTCAGACATCTTCTTTCTATAGTTTAACTCCTTCATTTTAGCGTTTGAGAGGGAGACACACACACACACAATGCTCACACATATCTTGTTGTGGGCAGTGGCTCCTGCATTTTTGGTGAAGATTTGGTAAAATCAGTGGTGATGTGTTTTTGTAATTATGATAAACATCAGATAGATGACAAATGTTTGACTTGGTTACAGGTTGTGAAAATCTTGGAGAAGCACGACCCCTTGAAGAACACCCAGGCAAAATATGGGTCTATCCCTCCAGATGAGGCCAGTGCTGTGCAGAATTATGTAGAACACATGCTCTTCTTGTTGATTGAAGAGCAAGCCAGGGATGCTGCAATGGGGCCGATTCTGGAATTTGTGGTCTCTGAGAACATCATGGAGAAACTTTTCCTTTGGAGCTTGAGAAGGGAATTTACTGATGAGACTAAAATTGAGCAGCTAAAGATGTATGAGATGTTGGTCACCCAGTCGCACCAGCCTCTGCTGCACCACAAACCCATTCTGAAACCTCTGATGATGTTGTTGAGCTCTTGTTCAGGAACAACCACCCCCACTGTGGAGGAGAAGCTGGTTGTCCTACTCAATCAGCTCTGTTCCATTCTTGCCAAAGATCCATCCATTTTAGAACTCTTCTTCCACACTAGTGAAGACCAAGGCGCTGCCAACTTCCTCATCTTCTCCCTTCTGATTCCCTTCATTCACCGAGAGGGGGCAGTAGGCCAGCAAGCTCGGGATGCATTGTTATTCATCATGTCTCTCTCTGCTGAGAACAACATGGTGGCCCATCACATCGTGGAGAACACCTACTTTTGTCCAGTAAGTCTCTCTCCTTGGCATGTTTTCTACTCAATCCCTTTTTTCTCTTCTGTTGCTAATGATGAATACTATCTTACTCCCTTTTTTCTCCCAGTAAGTTGTACTTGGCACCTCCTATGGAAAGATGTTTAGAGGAAATCTTTTGGAGGGAGCAGAGGAGTCTAAGTTGAGATGCTATTTGTCTGAGCAGCATCAGCTCATCATAAGCCAACAGAGGAAGCTAGATGTATTACCGTTTTTGGTTAATTTTTACTGCGTTAAGAATGATTTTAATTGTACTAGGAGCATAGGAGCATATCCTGAGAGATTGGTAAAACCTGTGCTTTCTGATTCCTTAGCTTTTCAGGTTGATTTTGCTCCAAGGAATCATGGCATGTGATAAGACCTCCACTGCTGGTTTCACAAATTAATTTGTTTCTCAGCAAGAAAATGACCGCTAGTTTTAGTGTATTTTGTTGTCATAGGAACATGGGGCGGTGGAGTGGGAGTTCAACAGTCAGTTAGTGTGTAGGGGCCACGCTGACAACACCAAATGGTGGCAAGATGTGGAGGAGTAGGAACTCTCATTCATTGCTGATGGGAATGCACAATGGTACAGCTACTTTGGAAGACAGTTTGGCAGTCTCTTACAAAACTAAACATACTCTTGCTGTGTGGCCCATCTATTGCACTCCTTGATATTTACCTAAAGGAGTTGAAAACTTATGTCCACCCACAAACCTGCACATGGATGTTTATAGAAGCTTTATTTATAATTGCCAAAAACTTGGAAGCAAACAAGATGTCTTTTAGCAGGTGAATAGATAGATAAAGTGGGGGTATATGCAGATAATGGAATATTTTTCAGCTAAAAAGAAATGAGCTGGTAAGCCATGAATAGATATTCATTTAAGAACCTTAAATGCTTATTACTAAGTGAAAGAAGCCAATCTGAAAAGGGTGCCTACTGTATGATTCCAACTATATGACATTCTGGAAAAGGCAAAACTATGGAGACAATAAAAAGACTATTTTCTTCCCCTGAGCATTGGGGCAGGGTGAGGGATGAATAAGCAAAGCACACAGGACTTTTATGGCAGTGAAATTACTTTGTATGATACTAGAATGGTGGGTACATGTCAATATACATTTGTCCAAACCCATAGAATGTAAAACACTCAGTGAGTGCTTATGTAAACTATGGTTTTTGGAGTGACTCTACTACGTCACTGTGAGTTCATCAGTTGTAACAAATGTAGCCCTCTGGTAGAGGATATTGATAATCAGGGAGGCTGTGCATGTGTTGGGGCAGGGGTATGTGGGATGTCTCTGTACCTTCCTCTCAGTTTTGTTGTGAACCTTAAACTGCTCTAAAGAAAACCTCTTAATAGCAGTTTTGAGAGGGAGCTATACGAGGTTTGGGTTTTAGCTTATTTGAATTGTTTAATTCAGTTGTGTAATTCTGCTGTTAAAGGAGAGCAGATATTGTAACAAATCAAAATATTCAGGTGGTTCACTTGATCAATATGCAAAAGGCAATTTAGAAAATACCATTTACAAGAGCAACATAATCATAAGGTATCTTGAAATAAATCTAACAAATACATGAAAGGCCTTTATGGAGAAAATTATAAAGGGCATAAAAGATCTAAATAAATGGAAAGCTGTACAGTCTGTAGATACTGTACAGATGAGACATTCCTGCAAATTAATCTATAAAGTTGATACAATTTATGTTTTAAAAACTTTTTATTATAAGAAAAAGTAAAATACAGAAAATTTAAAACACTAAGATGAACAGTGTATGTACACCACCTAGATTCAAAGTTGTTAATATTTTGCCATTCTTTGGTATTTTATGCTTTTATTTGTTTTTGTTGTACCATTTGAAATTAAGTTACAGATGTTAGACACTTTAGTCTGTATTTCCTATGAATGCGGACATTCTCCCACATAACCACAATACTGTTATTATACCTAAGAACATTATACAATAATTCCATAATACGATCTAGTATCCAGTTCTCCCATTATGCCCCAAATTACTTTCATAGCTTTTTTCTCCTCCTTTGTAGAGTCCAATAAAAGATATACATCTAGCTATCAAGTCTCTTTAGTCTCCATTAATATAATAACAACCTACCACTTTTCTTCCCCATGACATTGACTTTTTAAGAGACCAAGCCATTGTCTTATAAAACATCCCCACATTCTGAGTTTGATTGTTTCTTTTGTAGTTTGACTTGTCCCTAACCCTGCATTTCCTACAAATTGGACTTAGATCTACATGCCCAGTTAAATTTAGGTTAAATATTTTTGGCAAGGATACTTTACAAGTGATGCTATATACTTATTGCATTACAGCAAGGGGCCTATGTTAAGTTATTCCACTATTGGTGATGCAATGAGACCCCAGTTAATACTTATCAGAGTAGTAAGTATTAAGTGGTAACTGTGTTGTCAAGAGTGTGGAAAAAAAAACAACAAGAACTTTTGAGAATATAAATTGGCATAGTAACTCAGGAAAGCAGTATGGCAATGTTTGGTAAACCTGAATATTTGCATACCGTGTGATCCTGCAACTTCCCTTCTAGATATCTGGCCTGGAGAAATCTGGCACTTATTTACAAGGATACATATACAAAGATGTTCAATAAAACAGTGATTTGAACAACAGAAAAATAGAAGTATGTGAAGTAAAAGATAAACTGGTTTATTCATACATCAGTGGATACTTTTCAGCATTCAAAGTCTATGAATAGTGTACTGTCATGTAACTATGTGTATGAACAGCAGTAAATCAAAAAACATATTGAGTTATTTATTTATTTATTGAAACAGAGTCTCGCTCTGTCACCCAGGCTGGAGTGTGGTGGCATGATCTCGGCTCACTGCAACCCTGCCTCCCGGGTTCAAGTGATTCTCATGCCTCAGCCTCCCGAATAGCTGGGACTACAGGCATGTGCCACCGTGCCGGGGTAGTTTTTTGTATTTTTAGTAGAGACAGAGTTTCACCATGTTGACCAGGCTGGTCTCGAACTCCTGACCTCAAGTGATCTGCCCACCCGGCCTCCCAAAATGCTGGGATTACAGGCGTGAGCCACTGTACTGCCTAGAGTTTACATAAAATTTTAAAACACAGAATCTTAGTGTATGCTGTTTTTTGGATACATATGTATACAGTAAAAGGACAAAACAACGCAAGGATAATAATATATGCGAAGTTCAAGACTGTGACTTTCTGGGGGTGAAGGAAGGAGAAGGGATGGTAATGAGGTTGGAGTGGGGTGTAGTTCTATTCTAATTTTTATTGTTTGAAAAAATCAGAGTGTTCTGAAGAAATTTTTGCAAAATATTAAAATCTGTTAAGTCTTGGTGATGGGTTTCTATTATGCTTTGTGTATTTTTGATATTTCATAATTAAAAAATTTATTATGACAAGAATGGACCATTTTTAATGTTTAGATTTCTATTTAACTGTGTCATAAGCAGATTTTAGTCGAGTGTTGCTTTTATAAAAACGTATTTTAAAACACTGTACAGATCATTAAAGTTGGAGGGAAAACAACATCTCCAGCTGACCTTGTTTGCTAGAATGGAACATGAGCTTCATTGTGTTAAGTTGCCCCTGAGGATAGATCTCATAATCTCATTTGTACCCAGTTTTCTATAATTACATCTGACAACGTAATTAAAAAAAAAAAAAGGCCTCTTTATGTTGAAGATAAAAGCATACTCTATTAACCATCCAGCTAAGGACCACAGTTGACAAAAAGGTTTCTCTAATTAGTATGATTGTCAAAGCGTGTTAGCATCAGGCTGTTGGAAAAGTAATGACTCTTTCAGGAAATTGGACCACTTTTGTAAACCTTTGCTGTTATAGTTGATAGGAAGAGCTTGCTGGTTCTGCTGCCTCATAACTCAAGATATGCTTTCCCAGGAAAAGAAGGAGAATGAAGATACTCTAGGGAACAATTTGGTGCCAACAAAAGGGGACTAAATGACTCTGTCACTTTTTTTTAAAAAAAAACAAATATTGACAGTTAAGCCCATGCCACTGTTATATACTGGCAAATGTAGAAAACAGTGTATACATAAATCAAGTAATGCAAATTAAAGCAAGCGACCTTTAGGTACACAGCCGCAGGTAGAATGCTATTTATCCCATATCCAAAATTTATGAGGCTTTTTATTTTGGCAAGTTGTATCAAATAGTCCCTACCAGGTATTACGCTGCGAGCTTCAGACTAAAGCCATCTGCCAAAAATTTTTGTGTTTGCTAAAATTAACCAGATATCATTAGATGTTTAAAGTTAAACATTACTTGTTCACTGCTCTGTACACGTCTTCTTCCTTTTTTTCTTTTTTTTTTGTATGTGATCTTTCTTTCCTATATTGGAAACATTTCTATGTGTAAAACATTATGCAAATCTTGGTACATGCATTATTTTCTTTAATCCTGGCAACAACTCAGTGAAGAAATGGAAATTTAGAGAACTTTAATAACTGCCTGTCAGTGGCAGACTGTGGTTCAAAACCACGTTTGTCTGATACTAAAATCCTTGGTCTCAGCAACTGCATTGCTATACTGCTGCCAGGGAAGTTGTTTGCTTTTTTGTCTATTGTTATCCTTGTGGTTTTACATGTGATTTGTTTCTTTTAAAGAGATTCTTGAGGCAAAATAAGTGAAAAATAAGTGCACATAAGTGAAAAATAAGTGCACATAAGTGAAAAATAAGTGAAAAATGGGTTAATGCTTAATGTGTTGGGAATAAATAGAATATTTTGCAACTTTTTTGTGTGTGTGTGAATGGGAATCCAAGGATCAATAAAAGTCTAAAATACTGGATGGGAATTTTATTTTTAATGAGCTGTTGAATACATCTATATTTAAACTTTCGTAATTTAATTCTAAGTTAAAAAATGAAATTTAAAAGTAAATAGAATGTTCTATTCATCTCTTAACCTAGAAAAGTTAGCTACAGACCTGTTGGTATCTTTTCTTTTCCTTGTCCTGTTCCCACAGCACTCTGTATCCCCTTAGGTAGTAATTATCTTCCTTGCATTTATTGGTTTATCAGCCATATTCTCCATCTCTCCTGGTCTGCCTTGTTCACTAATCTTTCCCCAGGACCAATCTTGCGTATGTCTGGCCCACAGTCTGTGTTCTAGAAATATGTGCAGTCTGGGTGAATGAATCTGAACTCTGAGCACAGCCTAGGAAGGGAGGATATAAATACCATAAAGATTTAGAATCTTGTTCCTAAGACTGTATAATACTCTTTATTCTGCAGAATATTTTCTCCTCTGTTTCTTTGTCATTCTGAAGGAGATAGCAGAGAAACTTTTTGTAGTGGCAGGAACATGACAGGACTTCCTGTTCAGCTGTCACTTCTGTACGGACAACGTCCTTCTGTCTTCTGGGAGTATCCTTGTGCGTAGAGAGTATCCTTCTGTACAGGGACTATCCTTCTGGATGGGCAGGCTTCTGTACACATCTCAGCCATGCCCTTTCAGAATACTCATTTTAAAAAGTGAATATTACATATATGTTATTTTTAATTACTGTCACTGATGTATGTAATTTGAAAATTAATGTTGCTGTAATTATATTGATACACTGAATAGTTATTCCCAGCTTTTTAGTCAGACAAATTAAGCCTGTCTTTATGAATTCATCTTCAAAGCCTCAAAGTGGTTAAGAAATCAGGAGTATGCAGAATTAAAGCCTTTGTTCTGTGGTTAATTTAGCATGAGTTAGCAAATGTAATTGATTTAAAAAAATGTGGCATCAAGATTAGATTTCTCTTCGAGGAGAACTTTTGGTCTCTGTTCTCTTTTGCCAGAGATTTCTGATTTCTAAGAAGCAACTCATTTGGGTCACATTCAAAACTGGAATGAAAGTGTTTGTATGGGTATGTTCACTTTGAATAGGGGACATTCTCCTTTGGGACCACAGATGCCCTGATTTTTTAAAAAGAGGTAAATGTACTGTCTTGTTTACAGTTGTATTTTCTTAACGTAGTGCCTGAAGTAAGTGTTTGGTATTTCTTTTTTTAAGGAGTAAATGAATGAGTGATTAAAGGTTGCCAGGAACCAGGAAATAGAACAGAGAAATGTATATAATTTTTTGATTTCTCTAGTACTGAAATGGTTTATCTGTTTGTCTCCGTGTCCTTTATACTCCACTGGGGGCTCCTATACCATCTCCTCCACCCCTCCTAGATCCTCCCATGACTTCATATGCTCTCTCCATGTTAAGACCTCCCCGACCTGTACTCTGTTGTTGAGTTGCATATGTTATTCATGGGAAGGACTCCTAGCATCTGAAACTCAACATACCCGACTGGACAAATCATCCATACCTCCAGTGTGGACTGGAATGAACAAGTCAGATCAGGAGAGATGGAGAAGGTAGGCAACACACTAACACATGCAAGAAAGATGATTGCTACACAAAGGCATACAGAGAGTGCTGTGAGAACAGGACAGGGGGAAAAGGGAGGCAACAATAGGTCTACAGATAATTTTTTTCCAAGTTTAACATACCTAAGCCCACCCCTCCTTCTGACTTCCTGTTTGTGATGCCAGGCACTGTGGATTATTTCATCATATCTCATCTGTCTAAATCTCCCTTTCCTTCTCTCTCTGGTTCATATGGCTTGAGGTCCCATCTACATGTTGATGGCTCCGTCTCTAGCCCAGAGCTCTCTTTTAAGCATCAGCCCCACATATCTGAATACTGGGCTCTCCATTTGGATGCCTCACACGCTCCTCATGTTGTCCTATAAAACCCTGCAGGATCTGATTCCCATTCACCTTGCCAGCCTCTTTCTACCTGTAATTCTGCACTCTAACAATACTGCGCTTCTCTTAGTTCCTGGAGAATACCGTCTTTGCTTTCTCCTTTGAGCTTTTGTATATGCTGTTTTCTCTGCTTGAAATATTCTTCCCCCTACTCTTTTTCTGGCTAACTTCTACTTACTCTTCATCAGCTTAGACATCACTTCTTCTGAGAATATTTCCTGCTGCCAACCCTCCAAATCTGAGTTAAGTCTTTTGTACACCCACAGCACTATATATTTTCTATTATGTATTCTGAGCATTTCTAACACTGTTTTAATTGCCCGTTAATCTCTCATTAGACAGTGAGATCAATGAGTATGTCACTATTTCTTTTCTGGGCCTGCCTCATTATATTTTCTTGAATGTTTCATCTCATTCGAGGCCATTGTCACCTCAGGGTTTATGCTAGAGCAAAGACTTTTGTAGCTGGCCTTTTTTTTTTTTTTTTCTTTTTCTTTTAAGGCACTCCAGCTCTGTCGGCCAGGCTGGAGTACAGTGGTCCAATCTCAGCTCACTGCAACCTCCGCCTCCCAGGCACAAGTGATTCTCTCTTACCTCAGTCTCCTGAGTAGCTGAGATTACAGACTCATGCCACCATGCCCAGCTAATTTTGTATTTTTAGTAAAAACTGGGTTTCGCCTTATTGGTCGGACTGGTCTCAAACTCCTGGTTCAAGTGATCCACCCACCTCAGCCCTGCAAAGTGCTGGGATTACAGGCATGAGCCACCACCCCGGCCCCATAGCTGGCTCCTTTGCATTCATTCTGTGCCATCCCTGGCCATCCTATACATATCTAGCAAGTCAGGATCTCCAAGTTGCTGCTTAGTTCAGTATCACTTCCTAGCTGGGAGGCCTCCAGTACTATGAAATTCATTGCTTCCCTGGTTTGATATTCCACAAAGTAAAATCAACAAGCACTCAGCATTAAGTGTGTTATCTCCTTACATTTCTGTGTCTATTAAAGGCATCACCATTTTCTTGGTGACCAAGTTGGGTAAGTTGACAGTTTTGAGGTATCCCACTTACCAAGCCCAAAGGCTGTCAGTTTAAATTAAGGAACAGAACGGTAAGGGAGGAAGCAAGCCCTAAGATTATTGGATTAATGCCAGACCGATAGATGTCATGATTAGATCACCCTCATATCCACCTTCCATGTGATACTCAAATTTTATTTCCTCCTCTCTTTTCCTAGTGCTGATGCCTCCATGTAGACTCACTTTGTCTCTGCTTGAATCTTGTCATTATATCTAACTAGCTGATTGCTGTCCCCCAATTCTTTCTCCTTGCTATTGTTTGTGAAGATCAAATGAGAAAATATATGTGGAAGTGCTTTCTAAACTACAAACGTGCAGCTGTCAGTCATGACCTCAAGCATGCAAGGAATTGCATGGAATCTTTTTCATAAAGCTCATGGTTCCAATGTATGTGACTTTCTGTCCTGCACCACCTTAAAACAGGGATTCTCTAGGCTGGGGTATGTGCCTTCTCTGTATTTGCCCTTGATGTATTGTACTATAGGATGTTGTTTATGAATTTGTTCCTCTCCTGAATTTCTTGAGGCCAGAATAATGTTTCATTCATCTTTGTGTGTACTTCCCCTGCACCAAGGCCAGCATAGTGCCTGGCATATGAGAGATGAGCAACCCATACCAACTGTGTGTATATTAGCCAGATAGTTCTGGTATTTCTGTCCTTCTGCCAGAGTTGTTCTTCCCCACTGTCTCCACCTGTTGAATCGTTTTTAGCTGGCTGATGGGCTCTTATACCTTTAATACCTTGCTACTTAAAGATATAGTTTTGGAAACAGCAGCATTGGCATCACCTGTGAGCTGTTAATTGCAGGTTGAGAACTTTGGAAAAGCATTTATTTTGTTTTTATTTCTGAATACAGGTACTTGCAACTGGGCTCAGTGGTCTCTACTCTTCCCTGCCTACAAAGCTAGAAGAGAAAGGCGAGGAATGGCACTGCCTTCTGAAAGATGACTGGCTTCTACTTCCTTCTCTTGTCCAGTTCATGAACTCCCTGGAGTTTTGCAATGCAGTCATACAGGTACCAGAGCACGATAAAGGATCCCTTTGCTATAGCTTCATTCAGAGCACAAGCATTGCAAAGGATTAATTTAAAAGCATTCACTTTTTAAAATGTTAATAAATGTTTATGGAATATTGGTGCTTTACTTTAAGACAAGTGAATGTCCTTGAATGAGTAAAAATGTTAGTTTGTAGGTTTCTGTAAGTTTTAACTGAGAAAAAGAAATGAGTAGATTTTCTTTATTTTCTTTATAAAAAGTGTTAATTCTGTTTTGATTATCTACTTAGCCATCAAAAAATAAGTTCAATGCCTGACTCATTAAATAGATATTTTTAGGTTTCTAAGTACTCCAGATTATACCACTTTTACTTCAAGGTCTTCTTGGGAATTTATAAAGGAGAACACTTTATTTTGCTTAATGGTGCATACTACATAAAGAATATTGTTATCCCAATTGAATTTAGAAGAAGTTAAGCATTTTCATTGAAACACAAATTAAATTTGCTTTGAAATTGGCCTGTTTATGGGGGGGCGGGGGAAACAACCACCGAACTCCTGTGTATTTGGCTTCTTGATTAGATTTTTACCTTTAGATTTCTTGTTACTGTTTTCAATAAAAATCAGATTTTATATATATTTAAAGATGTGGTAAGTTTTCATAAAAATGTTTTGTTCCATATAGCATAAATATTACCTTAATGTTAGATTTATTAAGAAATCAAGTTTTCTTTATAGTGATTGTAGGATGAAAAATGTTAGTTATAATCTATTTATCTACCAAATAAAGAAATAGCCTCTGGAAGAAAATACAAGTACATTATTTTAGTTCCATCTCATTTTTATTGCTAAGTCAAAGGAAGTTTTATTTATATATAAGAAAAATGGATTACATCTTATTTTTTCCTTTAATATTGAGTCTATCAACATTTTCTTGCAGTTTGTGGAAATAAAAAAGATGGAACTGCTATTAGTTCTTCCCCAAAAATATATACACACAGAGAGATTATCAGTAATTTAAAGATCTAGCCTCACTTTCCTAGAAATTGCTTTTTACTTTGTTGTTTGACTTTCTTCCTCTTTTTCATTGTCTTCTTTTTTAAGAAAGAGAAATAAAGCTAATAGGCATGGTAAGAACAGGGAAATTATATATTTCATACTGTATTTTGACATTGAAACCATATACTTTTAAGATTTTTTGTTTGGGGAAGACTACTGAAAAGGTTACTTATAAAAGATATTAGTAGAGGGTTATCCACACTAAATATATTTTGGAAATCAAATATGAGAAGTATTGTACCTCTGATAATGTTTTCTGCTTTCGAATATTATCTATTTTTCTGAAAATATTTTTAAATGCCTTTCTCTTTAATATAAGTGACTATCAGGAAATACATATTTAAAATGAGAAAATGTTTTCTGCCAGCAAAATAAATGTATTTAATTGTTCGCTTTGACAGTTATGCTTAGTTTTTAAAATTAGTTACAGGTTGAGATGTGATTTAGAAGAAAGTAAGGGGCAAAAATTAAACTTTCCAGTTTGTTAACTTTAATTTGTGAATCCTTATATGTAAATTATAGGAAATACACAATAAATTCTGTTTATTGTGCTTCTTCCAAACACACAGTTTAAAATTACCAATATTATGTTTGAAAGTTCAACTTCTGTGAATTTTAACCAAGCTGTTTATGCTGGAATAAGCTATTTGAAGGGCTTACATGACAGTATGAGGTCTGCTTTGTTCTTTAATCACAGAATAAATGGCCAAAATTTGGATTTCCTTTTTGAGTTCAGGATGTACACAGAATTGTTTTGTTTTAAGAACTGAAGATTGAACTCTTTGCCTTTTTCTTGACTATCTGCATCTCTCTTAGGTGGCTCACCCCTTGATTCGAAATCAGCTTGTCAATTACATTTACAATGGATTTTTGGTACCAGTCTTGGCTCCTGCTCTCCATAAGGTCAGTGATTGGCTCATGTAATCTTCTGTCTCTATAATACAAGTGATGGACACTGAGGAGGGTAAACACAGTGTAACTGATTTGATGGTGACTTTAGCCTTATTTTTCTTCTATCTCTATTTCTTAGCAATATCAAACACAGGTCTTAAAATGGCCACAGTTTAAACTGATGGGTTCTGTCTGGTGTCATAGAATACAGTATTGTGAGTGTCCAGTAGGATAGTCAGCCCAAAGGAACATTGGCAGATAGACTCTGACTCTGTGCCTGCTTCGCTTTGTGGGTGGTGGCTACTTGGAACTGTCAAGCTTTCCTCCAAGGCTGAGTCTGTCATAGAGAATGCAAGGTATGCCGTGGGCATGGAGAGGAGCAGTAGTAGCACAAGTGCCATAGATTTGCTGTCTACTTAATAGAACATAATTTTTTATTGTAACAGTTTTGTGACAGCAAAAATTAAAGTGAAGCTGTCATTTTTCCTTCACTAAATAAAGTTAAGGTCCCATCAAAGGTTGGCTGTCTCATTAGCACCACTCTGAGTTTCTTATGACTCTCTGATTTTGTATGATAAATCAACTGATATCTTTTCCATTGTGAGCTGTCAGGCGACACCCCTGGGCCTAGAATTCTGATTTTTCATTTTTCCTTCACTAAATAAAGAGACTTGTGCAGTATTTAGTTCAGGGAATCTTTGTCAAGATTTTGGAATCACACCTCTGGCAGGGACAGAAGCAAAGAGCAACTTGATCATCTGTTGTTTTGATGGAATGCCCACCATTCTGCATCCTGAAGTTCAATTTCTACAGGCTTTTATTTTACAGAAGCCAAAAATACTTGATTATGGCAACGTTGAAACCTTGCCATCCAAGCTGATGGGGTTTCTGGTTTAGAGCAGATCTTGACAGAAGATGTTCATCTCTTACTATTTAGTGCCTTTCCAGCATAGTGACCATGTTTTCCAAGCCAAACAGAGTACTTGGTTTGACTTAGATTTTTATGTTATTTCTAGGTTCGAGAGGTCATCTTTGATGTGGTTTAAACATAAAAATACTGAGGTTTCCATGTTATTTTAGTAGTTTATGGGCACAAAGGAACCAAGTCTGTGAAATTAGATCTGTCTTGGAAAATAAGGGATTAACTTTGGAAAATACAGAACTTGTATTTGTTTCTAGGTTAACTTTGTGTTTGTCAGTATTTCATTGTTCCAGGGATGGAATGGGTATCTTGCATTGAAGATCTCTAAACGTCTGCATGGAAGAATTTTCCTCTTTGGAGGAACACAAGAGTGCTATAGAAATTCTCTGGCAGTAATTATCCATATACACTCTCACACATTTAGACTTTTTTCTTCGTTTGTTTCCATCCTTTTCCTCATTGACCTGTCGACATAAAATAATTTCCTGTCATTATTATAATAGTGATAATTATTATAATTACTATTTGTTCAGGAAATTTTATGTTATTATAATTAGCACACTTTAGTGTTACAAACATCAGTGATAGCTCTTTATCCATAATTGAGGATGAAAACCACCTCAGAGAGCTGTTACGAGGATCTTACTGGTCACCCCACACTTCTTCATTAGCACTTAGCACAAGTAGAGTTAAATCATTACGTGTGCTATTACTTGCTTAATGTCTTCTCCACAGTGGTATGCACACTTTCATGTATGGCACATTATCACATGTGTTTTGTTCACTGGGATATCTCCAGTGCTGAACACAGTACCTTAGACTTAGGAGGCTGAAGAAACAACACACCAATGGAATGCTTGTTAAAGTACCTTCCCAGATAGTGGTTTGTAAGAGAATAATAGCTAACATTTGATCTAGCACTTTACATGTATTATTTAATATCCTCAGTTGTGCCCATAATTAAAATATGAGAGTTTTAAAACCATAAAGTTAATACATGCTTATTGTAAAAATAAAAAAGTCAATGCTGAATATGTAAAATGAAAAGCGAATGTTACTGTATTATGTTTGAATTTCCAACCCCTAATTCAGATTTCTTAACTTGTATCCACTGCAGACAATTTCTCTCAGGGCTATATAGCAACTAGGGAGAACAAAGAGAGATTTTTTCCTTCTTAATTAATTTTTCTCCCTATTCTCCATCTGTTTTTTGTTTGTTTGCTTTTTTATCATTTAGAATGAACAGGGTTAGGGAGGGAGCAGGCCAGGGAAGGTGAACAGCCTCTCCTGTGGCTCTTGGCTCCCTATGTGGTTGATGAAGAAAGGAGCCTTTTCACAAGTGGCAGGACAGGAAATCAGAAGCATGTGAACAAAGAAGTCTAGAACTGGATGTTTCTTGAGGGGTTCCCAGTGAGAGCAGTCATATCCTATATCCTATGTTTCCCCCTTTAATATGGGGAATGATACCAAGAAGTATGGGCTCAGATCTACTGGAGGGACTCCTGTCTGTGTTTTCTATACTCCATGTCCACTGCCTTGACATGAGCATTATTTTTTTTTTAATTGTGTATTTATTTTTATTTTATTTTTATTATACTCTAAGTTCTGGGATACACATGCAGAACGTGCAGGTTTGTTACATATGTATACACGTGCCATGTGGTTTACTGCACCCATCAACTCATCATCCATATTGGGTATTTCTCCTAATGCTAACCCTCCCCTAGGTCCCCACCCCCTGACAGGCCCCGGTGTGTGATGTTCCCCTTTCTGTGTCCATGTGTTCTTGTTGTTCAACTCCCACTTATGAGTGAGAACATGTGGTGTTTGGTTTTCAGTTCCTGTGTTAGTTTGCTGAGAATGATGGTTTCCAGCTTCATCCATGTCCCCACAAAGGACATGAATTCATTCTTTTTTATGGCTGCATATTCCATGGTGTATATGTGCCACATTTTCTTTATCTAGTCCATCATTGATGGGCATTTGGGTTGGTACCAAGTCTTTGTTATTGTTAGTAGTGCTGAAATATATACAATATATATTGTTAGTGTGCATGTGTCTTTATAGTAGAATGATTTATAATCTTTTGGGTACATACCCAGTAATGGTATTGCTGTGTCATATGGTATTTCTGGTTCTAGATCCTTGAGGAATTGCCGCACCGTCTTCCACAGTGGTTGAACTAATTTACACTCCCGCCAACAGTGTAAAAGTGCTACTGTTTCTCCACATCCTCTCCAGCATCTGTTGTTTCCTGACTTTTTAATGATTGCCATTTTAACTGGCATGAGATGGTATCTCATTGTGGTTTTGATTTGTATTTATCTAATAACCAGTGATGATGAGCTTTTTAAAATATGTTTGTTGGCTGCATAAATGTCTTCTTTTGAGAAGTGTCTGTTCATATCCTTCACTCACTTTTTGATGGGGTTTTTTCTTGTAAATTTGTTTAAGTTCCTTGTAGATTCTGGATATTAGCCGTTTGTCAGATGGATAGATTGCAAAAATTTTCTCCCATTCTGTAGGTTGCGTGTTCACTTTGATGCTAGTTTCTTTTGCTGTGCAGAAGCTCTTTAGTTTAATTAGATCACATTTGTCAATTTTGGCTTTTGTTGCCATTGCTTTTGATGTTTTAGTCATGGAGTCTTTGCCCATGCCTATGTCCTGAATGGTATTGCCTAGGTTTTCTTCTAGGGTTTTTATGGTTTTAGGTCTTACGTTTAAGTCTTTAATCCATCTTGAGTTAATTTTTGTATAAGGTGAAGGAAGGGGTCCAGTTTCAGTTTTCTGCATATGGCTAGCCAGTTTTCTCAGCACCATTTATTACATAGGGAATCCTTTCCCCATTGCTTGTTTTAGTCAGGTTTGTTGAAGATCAGATGGTTGTAGATGTGTAGCATTATTTCTGAGGTCTCTGTTATGTTCCACTGGTCTATATATCTGTTTTGGTACCAGTACCGTGCTGTTTTTTTACTATAGCCTTGTAGTATAGTTTGAAGTCAGGTAGTGTGATGCCTCCACCTTTGTTCTTTTTGCTTAGGATTGTCTTGGCTATACACGCTCTTTTTTGGTTCCATATGAAATTTAAAGTAGTTTTTTTCTAATTCTGTGAAGAAAGTCAATGGTAGCTTGATAGGGATAGCATTGAATCTATAAATTACTTTTGGCAGTATGACCATTTTCACGATATTGAGTCTTCCTATCCATGAGCATAGAATGTTTTTCCATTTGTTTGTGTCCTCTCTTATTTTCTTGAGCAGTGGTTTGTAGTTCTCTTTGAAGAGGTCCTTCACATCCCTTGTAACTTGTATTCCTAGGTATTTTATTTTCTTTGTAGCAATTGTGAGTGGGAGTTCTCTCATGATTTGGCTCTTTGTCTATTATTGATGTATAGGAATGCTTGTGATTTTGCACATTAATTTTGTATCCTGAGACTTTGCTGAAGTTGTTATCAGTTTAAGGAGATTTTTGGCTGAGACGATGGGGTTTTCTAAATATACAATCATGTCATCTGCAAACAGAGACAATTTGACTTCCTCTCTTCCTGTTTGAATACCCTTTATTTCCTTCTCTTGCCTAGTTGCCCTGGCCAGAACTTCCACTATTATGTTGAATAGGAGTGGTGAGAGAGGGCATCCTTGTCTTGTGCCAGTTTTCAAATAGAATGCTTCCAGCTTTTGCCTATTCAGTATGATATTGGCTGTGAGTTTGTCATAAATAGCTCTTATTATTTTGAGATACATTCCATCAGTACTTAGTTTATTGAGAGTTTTTAGTGTGAAGGGGTCTTGAATTTTATCGAAGGCCTTTTCTGCATCTATTGAAATAATCGTGTGGTTTTTGTCATTGGTTCTGTTTATGCGATGGATTAGGTTTATTGATTTGCATATGTTAACCAGCCTTGCATCACAGGGATGAAGCTGACTTGATTGTGGTGGATAAACTTTTTGATGTGCTGCTAGATTCAGTTTGCCAGTATTTTCTTGAGGATTTTCACATCGATGTTCATCAGGGACATTGGCCTGAAATTTTCTTTTTTTGTTGTGTCTCTGCCAGGTTTTGGTATCAGGATGATGCTGGCTTCATAAAA